CTACTTAGCTATAAGGTAATTTTAGCTTAACATATTTGGCTAAATCCTATGTATGAAGAAACAATGCTTCTATGTTAAGAAATATTAAGGTCATAGAGAGAAAAGTCATAGATCTAAAGTGTTTTACTCTTCCTCTCAGAGTGAATTAAAATATTTCCGTATAATGGGCAAACACTCATCTTGGAACACCTCCCCCAACAACAGCCCTCACCTGCAGGAATAAGCATGACAGGCCACACGCACTGCATTTTCTGCAACATGGCCAACACTCGTAAGACCAGAGATTCTGTGTGAAAGCAGACTAAAAACCACCCTTGCTAAGCCTTCCTATAAACAGAGATAAGAAACAAAATGAAAAATCCATTCCTTTGGGAAAATGAGTCTTTAACCTATGGGTTGGTTTATTTCTAAAGGGAATTAGATTCTGGGCCCATACATGACACACTCAAAATATGATGCTGTGGTCTCATCTCCTACTAAACGTGTCACTATGACTTTTAAGCAGAGGGAACATTTAACAAGAAGCAGCAACCTAGGGAAGGGACAATCTAATTCAGGCATCAATAATTCAGCTCTCAGCAATGGGAGTAGTGGTATGAAATGCCAGGAGGCTGTTCCATCTAGAGAGAGGCATTTTCTATCTGAAGCCTAGAACAACACAGTCCGCTTCATTCAGAAAGATAATATGAAAAGTGGTGAAGCTGAATTGGAGGACTAGTTGTATGGTCTCCCCTAATAATGCTGTGTCTTTCGTATCAGTTATTTAGGTCTGACACACAACCATTTGGGGACTTGGGAAAGTGACAAGAAAGGGATTTTTATAACTCTTGTACTTCAGAGGTGATTACCTTCACTCCAAAGCTTTGGCACTAGAAATGTAATCATGTAAGTCTAAGAGAAATGATTTGCATAAAGTTGTGATGGTACATTCTCTCTCAGTACTGGAAACACTTCAGGCATTCCAGCTTCTTACTAAGTCATCTCCCAATCAACCCATTAATCTTCCATCCAGGTACTAACCAGGCCTGACCCTGCTTAGCTTCCGAGATCAGATGAGATCGGGTGTGTTCAGGGTGGTATGGCCGTAGACCCAATCAACCATTAGTTAGTAGCCTCTTATTTAACCATTGCACTGCCCCAGCATTTAGCACAGCATCATCATTCACAAAGTGGGGTATAAATGAACATGCTGGATGAATGAACAAATGCTGCCACATATGAAATAATTTCAAATACACTCTGATGCCTACTGCTCACATAGTACAATGAGGAGGCACTTGCACAGCCAATGCCTCAACTTCCTTATTCTGATGGTGATTAGAAATTCTTCCCCTTTACTATTGTACATCAATTTCAAGGACTCATGCTCCACTGAGGGAGGTGGGAAAATGGAGTTAATGAAAAGCAGGTTTACTATAGACAATTATAGCTGGCAGCACGTAAAGAAGCAGAAAGAGCTAACAGAACCTTTAACCATGGTAAAAAAAAAAAAGACCTCCAAGTCAAACTTTAAATATTAAATGTTCATATACATAGTGTATTGATATAATTATAATTTAACCCCTTATTTATCAAGACCTGGATAGAGGAATAAACACAATTGTAATAACAGGTATAATTCTCTACCACCTATTATACAGTCAGCAGTGTGCTTGATGTTTTACATACTTTATTGCTACCCCTTAGAAGTATTATTATGCACATGTTAGAAATTTAAAAAGTACTAAAGCTCAGAGCAGTTAGGTCCAGAGACTATAAAGCTAACAAAGGAAAACCAAGGCAAGTTGACTCTTCTAAACTACAAATCCAATCTTATTCCCTGATGCCAAGTGACCTCTCTTCAAATAGAATTACCTGTCTATGGAGCCATGCTTAAACACAGGTCCACCAAACCTACCTATAGTTGTGGTATAATAAAGAAAGGATATCTTAACCCTAAATATCTGAATACATGCTTATGGTCGGCCAATAAATAAATCAGGCAGCACTATTGAGAAGAGGTAAAGGGACATCTGATGCCCCAGGTGACTACTCACTTTCACAAAACAGAGGTATACAGTGCTGGGGTTGCACTTCTGAAAATGCCATATTCCACTCTCAAGACTACAAACCTAAGCTCACATCTGGGACAATTCCTGTATCTCCCAATAATCAGACTCACACCATACTCAATGCACCATGGACAGTGATTAGAATGGGTCAAAACAGGACACACCAGAACATCCGGAGTGAGCAGACCACTGTGATACTACTTAACAAAGGTCTCGGGGAGTGGCCAAGTGTAAAAGGAATCCTCACAAAGGATATAGTTTTTCAAAGGCAGACTGTAAAAAGCCATCAAAGCCAATACTCAAAGAATTGTCTTTACATGTAGACTTTGTGGTTGGCAAAGTTAATCACAGGTCAGACCCCCCTGGGAGAACAGTCACCATCACCACTGAGGGCTTCAGTGTAGACACTCAGCACATGGAGACTCAGAGAACCAACGAGACAGCACAACGCATTTTCATTTTCTATCTGTGGGCCCTCCTGTTCCTCGACAACCTGTCCAAGGATACTTTGGATGTAAACATGATCTAGACCTTCCTATAGGTTTTCTGTTTCTCTTTTCTTTATATAAATGTTGATGGGATAAATTTAACTAATGGCCCTGGCCTGTGTGGTTCAGTTGGGTAGAGTGTCTTCCCTAAACTGAAAGGTCATGGGTTGTTTCCTGGTTAGGGCACATGGCTGGGTTATGGGTTCGGTCCCTGGTTGGGGCGCACTCGAGAAGCAACAGATGGAGGTTTCTCTCCCTCTTTCTCTCCCTCCCTTCCCTTCTAAAATCAATAAGTATGTACTCAAGTGAGGATAAAAATGTTTAGCTAATGGATATAGTACAGTCAATTCTGCTACATTGCTTGCCTTAAAAGCACATTTTTTGATTGATACACCTAAGCAATCAATCAACAATGGCTGATATATTAGAGAATAATTTGAACATAATGTGAAATTTGCACTGGTCTCTACACAATCTTGTCCCCCAAACTCCAGGCAAATGTAGAAAACACGTCCAGCTGTACTAAGCCCTGTACAAATACTACACAGGCACACCGCGCTTCACAGCAAACAGGAGCACAGCGGTCCTTACCGCCCACGTCCAGGCCACTACCTCCCATGTGACTTCAGGTCCTTCTCCATTTCACAGCAGCTTGCATGCTGCCAGGCTTCTGAAGGCCATCCTGGTGGAGTCCTTCCCTCTGCTTCACTGTCCCCCTTTCCTCCCCGTCTCCTTTGCAATCTTCCTCTCTATTCTCTGTTCTTCATAAAAATTTAAACCTTTATTTTTTTCCTATTATTCTTTAACTTTTGCACATAGAAGTGCAGGCACGTGAGGAGGAGTTGAGCTAACGGGCACACTCTTCCACAAACAAACTTCAGGTCTTTTTGCAGGTAGAGTGTTGCAGATATTGTAGTTTTATATGTTTCTTAATCACTTTGCATGGATAAAATTGAGATTGTTTTTAATCATTTGTGCGTGTGTTCCTGATGAAGTTTTTCAGTGTTGAGCTCCAACTCCATTTGCTTATTCCTCTGTGGTTTTAGACTTTGCAGAGTACAAGTATTTTTTAGAATGCATATGTCATGTTATAGTAGAATACACCATATATTGATATTTATTAGCAATGACTTTACTGAAGCTTCAGTTTCTTCTTCAGTGTTTCATGCTAACTTGCATGTTAGGCTAAATACATTAGAGCTCAGTGTCTCAAACTATAATCCTTTGTGTGAAATTCACCACAGCTTTAAACAGTGTAATCTAGACAGCAACGACCAGGTCCAAAAGCAAAGTACCCAGTTTAATTTAGTTCCCTTTCTCTTTAGAAAGCTCTAGAAAATTCCATCGCTACATCAATTTGCAGATTGATGCTTTCACCACTAAATCTGCTCTACAATATTTACTCAGTTGTTAATATTAATAATCAGCATATTTTCCACAGTAACTTTTTTCAGGCTCCCTGGTAGATGGTAAGAAGAAAAAAAAAAGGGAAAAAAATCCCATGTACAGTCACAATTATCTAGGTCATATAATTTTATCTAAACTTATTGACTCAATTAAATAATACTAGCTGAGAAATTTTTCCCTACGGAAAAAGTACAGGCAGGAAATAGTACATAACAAATGGGCACAACACCATTCTTTAAGACTTCTGCAATCTGGAACTAAAACATGCAAATAAAAATTCAAGTGATAATATCTAAATCACAGCATTATGGCTGAAGGAGCTTCACAGTAAAAGGAAAAAAGTTAATGGGATCTAGAGATTAGAAATATCCATAACCTTTAAAAAACTTATATCACTGTAAGCAAGAAATACTATTTTCATTTACTTTCTGGAGAATGTTAAGATATTCTACCTTACCAAATGGATGTGCATTTTCAATTGCTTTCACAAAAGCTACTGTACTAACTGTAAAGTGTAAATGTGGTTAAATGGGTTTCTATGGCTCTTGACTGTGGAGATAAGAAATGCGTTCTGCATGCAGCAAGCCTTATAAGTGTTTCAGGTATATTAGTGGAAAACACCATCACTACAGGGAAGAGGAGAGGAAAGAGACCTCAACTACAGTATTCAATCAAATCTGTTGAATGTAACAAAGAACTCTTGGTGGGGATACTTTGTTTGCCTCTCCCTTTAAGCGCCCCATCCCTAAATAAATGGGTGACAGGTCAATAACCACTGGAAAGGCAATGTTCCCTAGCTCTGCTCTCAAAATTGGGAAATGATGAGCCATTCTCTTGAGTGTTCTCTCTTTCCCTCTGCAACGATTCTAACTGTGTGGACCACTCCTTTTTATTACCCAGAAGCTTCAGTGGAAAGATGCCTGTTTATCTTGGAGCAAATTAGAGATCATTCGTTACTGAGTATTTCCAAGAAAAAAAAGGATTTTCTTCAGCAAAAGCAGAAAGCAAGGCTCCTTGCCAGCCACACGCCAGCCACCCTTCCCTTGGGCCTTACTTGTTCTCGTTGCTGGCATCGTAACGAGGCATGGGGTCCAAGTCATTCCCATTCACGTCACAACTGGCCAAAGCATCCTATAGCCACAGAGGAGAGCAAGAGAAAGAGACAGACGGTCATTAATTAGCCATTAACCTGAAAGCTCATGCATTCTTAAACACATTTCTGCAAAAGAGTAATTAGATTAAATAATACATTCCTGGTTCAGTGGTGTCAGGATGCCTTGTTCAGTAATAATCAGTGTTGCATTTTCTTCCCCCCTTCGGGTGAAGGAATACTCTCCACAGACCAAAGAAGTGCCCAGTCCATTCGTGCCAGCACTTTTTCTCTTAGACCTCGAACTGGCCTCTCATGCAATTGCTTCAAATATATCCCCAATTATCATCTTTTCTCCATGGACTTTCTATCTTTATTTCTTCAGTGTCAAATACCTTATATTTAAAACACTTTTTAAGATAAAAATCATTCACAAATAATCAGCAGGGCAATTAAAAGTCAATATTAGAAATTTATTATATCAGGTATCTTAGCATCTCTATTAGGCGACGTTTGTCTGGTTTCAAATGTTTTATCTACTATGAAAGAATCTACAATTCAGCGTTGTTGCTAATATCAATGGCCTTGTGCACCAATCAGAATAACAAACAAAATTTTATTCTCTGTCAGGGTTCAAAATGAGGCAAAAATATCTGAAAGCAAATGTATGTCACTATAGATAGAAGTAATTTAGGGCATTTTGAATTTTCTGATACTTTATGGTAATTCCTGATTTTAGTTTTAGTGAAAGTAAAGGTTATCTTTGTTTTCTATCTTTATCAAAGGCTCAGTTTCTGAAAAAAATTGATAGTACATACAGTCTGAAATGTTTGGGGGGATAAAGGAAAGTATGCAATTCCCATATAAAGGCAGTAAGTCCCTGCTTCCTGTACAGAGGGGGCATGCGGCCCTCCTACGTGGTCTGAGCGCACGAGGGAGTGTAGCTAGTGCACCTCACTAATTTTACTGATAAGGAAACAGAGGCCTAAACAGGCCTAGGTGACTTGGTCCGAGGCATTAAATGAACCACCCATGGGACCAAGACTGGAACCCAGGCCATCTGACACCCCTTCCATTGTGTTCTTCTCTCCTCTTCACGGCTCTGACATTAGAACTGAGAGGGTACCAGTATTACGAATTACACAAATTCTGGAATGTTCTTTCAAGGAAGGAAAAAAATGAAAAAAGTAACGAATGCAATCACAATTAGGTTAAAGCTATTTGTATTTTATCAAATTATCTTTGGATGCAGGGCGGGAGCAGGAATGGGCCACAGGAACTGCTCTGTGTATGACAAGAAGGACTTCTTTGCTAGGAGACAGGCAGCCACACTTGTGTGGTTATGGCCTGGGTTAACTCATTTTAATCTTCAGGCCTCACTTTCTACCCTATCCAATGAGGCAACCGAACTGAAGTTCTTTTTTAACCTTAAAATTCCATGCTGTGAAGAGACACACATTTATACGAGTGTGCTTAGGCACAGGGTAAGAGTGACCACTTTGAAGTTTTGTTCAAGTGACAACTAAATGAACTTCCAGTTCCTTCTCTCTCTCTTCTTTTTAAGCCTTAGGGAAAACCATTGAATTTTGGGGGAAATCATCTCACGTAAAAAACTTGTAAAGTTTTTTTGCTGAAGTTCTGAAATACAAAGGGCAATGAGGAAGAGTGGGTGATGCGGGGTGTGCTGTGTGAAGGAAGGTCCTCATGGTCGGAAACATGGGTGACTGTGGGAGACAGTGGCAGTTTCTGATGTGCCAAGAAGTGATTGGGAAGCACTGTATTTGCACAGATAAAATGGAGTGTTTTCAGGTTTGAATGACAAAAGGAAAATTAATTTAAGAGAAATGAGGTGTTGCTGAATGAGACTGAACAAGTAAGAAACATTGGAGAAAAGAGACAGCCATTTCTACCCAAGTGATTTTGTAAGAAGCATGAAAGTGCTTGAAGTTAAGATGGGTTTGTAGTGACATTAGTGTTTCTGGGTGGAAACAATGGGCAACAGGAAAGACAGAGGAGAGGTCAGGAGACATGGGTGTGAGTGGGATCCACCAGAAGTTTCTGTTAGGCCCTGACAGGAATCAGAGAGTTGTTATTTGCAGACAACAGGGAGTCACTGTAGGCTCATTAGTAACAAAAGAGATACTTTAGGGAGAACTCCAAGGTGTGAGAAAACATGAATTTGGAGCAGGCAGAGAATGGCACATTAGGAAATAATTACAGCACTTTTCATGCAAGTTAGGGAGGAGAAGCCAAGGGAGGGATCATTCTGGAGAGCAGAAGACAGGGGAGGGGCTACTGGCATATTCCCAAACAGTGAATGGCACTGTGGTAGAGGGGACCCAGAGGCCCCTGGAGCAAAGGATCACAGTGTTCGGGAACAGGTTATCCCCTTACCCCCAACACAGCCACTGGATATTAAGACCACAGTTCTCAATGAAAGTACTGAGTTTTGACACTTTGGGTTGTTCTGCTACCTTGGGTTCATCTTATGTTCTCTCTGAGTCCTGGAATTGTAATACCTTCTTAAGAAAAAGAATTCACAGATTCCTAAGGATCATTACTATCCTTTGAAAAAGGAGAGAGACCAACACAGATAATAACTTGAGAAAAGTTCCAAGTACATTTTTCTCCCTAAAAGAAACAGCACTGCCCAGCTATGTGGATGAGCTGGTGAGAAGAGCAGTTGGTGCTGGTAACAGGTGGTGTGGTGCTGGGGTTTCTGCTTCCTTATCACCTGTTGTCTGTTGTCAGAACACTAAAGGCACTCTGAAGCTGAAAGTGTTTATCTCATGCTTCCTGGATTCTAAGTGCATCTCTTACAGGACTGGAGCAACACACAGAGACTACTGGATCTGTTTGCTGCATTTGTCAGTAGTTTTCCCCCTTTCTGAAAATTCTACCATGAGTTCACTTGCTTCAAAGGAGGCAAGGCATTCTGACCACAGCAAACACTCACGTAGTTCTGCATCAGATCCGGATGGGTTCTCTCGATGCCATCGTCCAGGATGGTGACCACGATGTTCTTCCCTGTGTAGCCTCTCTTCCAGGCTCCTTCAATGTTCATGTCCGACTGGCAGGGATGCGTGTTGTCACTGCAGTGCTGAAGGGGGAAGAGGGGGCACTGGTCATTGCAGATTACTAAATAGTAAGGAGGAGGGAGAAATTACTACTTGTTAAGATAATGCATTAAAAACTAACAGCAATTTGGTGGACTGCCTGTTAGAGTAGAAGCATGGGTCTCTAGCACAATAACAGGGGAAGGCAGGAAGGATAGATGTGGGAAAAGCAAAAGCTTTTCTGCCATCTCTGTCTTGTTCTAATACCATTGATCCTTTGGAAACACATAATAAGATAAAGTATATTTCGACAGCAGAATAATGGATGCACATTTTATTGTTAGCAGGTATTAATGGCACACAAAAAGTCATCGTAGCTTTTCATTTACAAATCCACATGAGGTCACTGAAGTACATACACTTTATCATTCCAGCCACCTACAAGCTGACCCAGCTACAAACGAGGACCTACTCAGGCAGCATTTGCACAGTGTCAGCCAGAGATGTGCTGTTGTGAGAAACCCATGAACAACAACAACAAAAAGATTTTTTCAATCTTCTGTCAATAAATTAACAATGGCTATTGTATCAGAGCTTGTAGTAGGAAATACTCATTCAGCACTATTTTGAGAAGGGAGAGAAGAGTAGTACGTAGTTTGGAATGGTGACACACACAGGAAAACATGTGAGGGGGAGGGGCGGGTTGTAGAAACATGGAACCTTAGCTCATCATGTGTTGTAACTGCATTCCGCAATATCAAGAAATGAATTGATCAGCAGCAATTCTGGATGTAATTTACTAGCATTCATCAACCCACACAATTATTACTTCTAAGTCCATCCCTTCGAAATATTCCTCTGAGCAGTGTTGATTTTCAGCTTAAGACTCAGTAGAGAAACAAAGGGAAAGATGTACTGCAGCATAATGCCATAGCGACATGAGCCACCCCAGGTCTTTCACCATTCACTATTCTCTTCCTGCTCTGTGACAGCTCAGTACATCAGGACACAAGCTTTGCATGTGCTAAGCATAATGGAGACCTGACTGCCAATGATTCATCCAACACACACTTTATTGAGCACCTACTACATGCTGGCACTGGCAGGGAACAAGGCAGACAAGGTCCCCGTCCTAAAGATACCTCTAAAAGGGTGACAGAGATAATAAACAAACAAAACCATTCAGAGCACTCCTCGTGCCTTACAGGAATTAAGCAAGGTAACAGAATGGTGAATGCCGAGGGGTCTGACTAGGCCACCTTAGGTGCGACTGTCAAAAAATGACTCCAGTCTCTGAAAAAGTGGAATGTAAGCTGAGACATGACTGATGGGAAAGAGCTGGTCTGCCCAAGGGCCTAGAAACCAGTGCCTTGGTAGAGGACATAACAAATGCAATGGCCAAAAGGTAGGAAACAACTTGGCACACTGAAGAAACAGAAAGGTGGGGTATTGCTGAAACTTAGTGAACGAGGGGGAGAATGACATGCAAGGTAGCAAATCAGAACACAAAGCGAGATTCGACCATCCAGGGATTTGTAGCCATGACTTGGCTTTCATCTGTAGTACAACCTAAACGGAAGCTCATCTCTTTCCAAACTTCATCACTCAAAATCAAATGTTAACTAGCAACAGATACCTCTAACCCTCCTCAGCAAAAATTTATTAGTGTGTTCTCCAAATGAGACTGCCTTTTGTTGGATATTATAAACACACTTGACTAGGATTCATTCTAACAAAACGTGAACCCATTTTTCACCACAGATAATATCTAGAAAATAGGGGATTATAAGTTTGGTGAGTATTTGCATCTTTTTCTCACCTTCTTGACTTCTGACACTTGAGGCCCTGCAGACATACACACACACACTATTACTGCACTGACCCAAATTCCACTCTTCCCATCATTCCCAGGTTTTGGTAGCTCAGAACCTACCCCCTCCCATAAAGCTGCTTCATGTTCTTCAGCATGTTCATGTTTCATCCCATTCTTGAACCTAGGGGCAGACACACATACATACGCCCTCTGTTCTACACATATAACCCCTACTCACTGAAGTCTACTGAACTTCTTGCGTGTGAATTGTCTTGATTGTAAGCCCTCAGAAGACTATGCATTAAACCAAGTGTAACTAGGATTTCAGTAAATATTGGCTGGTTGATTGCATGCTGGAAATGTGGGCATATCCCCAACTTTATTTCCAAATTCACAACTGTCACTGCGCTTGGTGCTCTGACCTCATCAGAGATTGCTAGCCAGCTAACACTGGGTTAATAGAGATGATCATGAAAGTAATAGCATACATTTCCAAAATGCCTGTGTTTTTCAGAAGTATCACTCTAGCTGAGATAGAATTTGGGCCTCTCCTCACCAAATGCTTTTAACACAAAGCAATCTTGACAGGTTCCCATTTCATTTTTTTCTTTTTCCAAACCTGCTCTGGCCACCTGTGGTATCGTTTCTGATGTGCAGTAATGTTAATGTGGCCTCAAGAGGTGGGCCAGAGGAAGGAAATGCACAGGAAATGGGTAACCCACAAATGGGACAATCGTCCTGGAGTGAAGGGGTGCTGCCTGAAATTGTAATTATGAAAACTGAAGAAAACCAGCCGTCTATGGAAAACACATGTGTTAAAAGTAGAGCAATTAGGTTTCTTTCTTCCAAGTCTGCTTCTGGTGAATCTGACTTTACCATTAAATATTTATGTCCTATCCTTTTTTTCCTTCTTTTCATCCACCAACATGGTATTGGTAGAAGGGGAAGGAGGGGAGATATCCAGTCGATACTTTCACATGGATAATCAATTATGGTGAGTAGCCCAAAGGTCAAAGAAGAAAAAAATACTTAGAGCCTGAGGTGTTTCTTGTGAAAGATTAATAAGGTCAGAGGACCCTCAAATCAGAACCCTAAGTCCTGAATATGAACTGTAGATTTTATACATATTTCAAGTGGTCTGGGATTCCAAATTTGTTTTTAATATAGTTGTTTCATATGCCCAAGTATCTAAAGAGGAAGGACTATGCAAAATATTGATGTCAGTCAACACGAACCAAAGAGAGGAATGAAATAATCATTTCCTCAACTGTCTGACTGAAACGATCTTTAAACTGGGCTATATTCACTTGACAAGAATCTGTATAATAGCATCACCCAGAGGCAAAAGAAACACAAACACAGTCATTGTTGAGAAGATCTCCACCACATCTGGGGCTACAGACTAGTTTCCAGAATTGTGTTACCACGTACATAGTCCATAGACTGGTGTGGGGCTAGTCAGAAATGTGCAGCATCATTGAAGCTGATGAAAAATACATATGCACACAGTATATGCAAGGTAAATAATGTACTGTGTCTCAATGATGGTATGTGCACAGATGACTACTGAGAAGCAACACAAAATGGAAAATGTCTGTAGAAAGAATGGATCCCACTTAGATCTCCCACGTTCTTGACCATAAAAGCCTGTATTCTTTTTAGGAATGAAGTTTTAGAGAAACTGTTCTGTGAGTTCTAGAAAGGGCCTTTTCCAAACCAGGGTTGAGTTACTCTGCTTATAAACCACACTGGGTGTGTTCGCCTCTCTTGCATCTCCACCAACAACATATCACAGTGTTGCCTCAATGAAGGAACAGTTTATACCCCAAATAAACACCTTCGTTATATTTTCACTGTCCTTTTCTTCCACCCTGGAGGGGGCAGCTTCAATGTCATTCTTTTTAAACTTCTCCAAGTTCTGAACAATTTATACACTGCCAATAGCCTGCCTGTACACTGAAAACATCTGTTGTTCATTGTTATTCATACAGTGGCTCATAAGCCTGCATCACTGACTATATAATGTTCATAAGAAAGCAGAATTAAATACATAAAGAATCTGTTTTATAGACAGATTCAGAAACAAGCCAGCCAACTTAGTAGAGTGTATAAATGCTTGAAATTCTTTATAAAATTTGGAGTCCAAGAGTTCTAAGAAATTGCAAAAAATAAAACTGATATTCCCTTAAGTGAAAATATAATTGACATCTACTAGATCCTTCCCATGGCCAAGCACTGTACTAATTGCTTCATGTAGATGAGCTTTATAACCATTTGACAGAGGTACTTTTGCCATCTTTTTTTTATCTCCTTTTAAGAGATAAAGAAAATAAGTTTGTTTTTTCTTTTGGTGGTTTTGTTTGTTCATTTGGTGCTTTCTGCAGGTGGTGGACACAGGACAGAGAGTATACAAATGTCTATTATAAAGTTGTGTGCCTGACAGTTACATAATGTTGTTAATCAATGGTGCCCTGACTAATATGGGTGGGAGGGGGTTTGCAGGGCAGCAGGGAATAAAGGGGGGGAAATGGGACAACAGTAATAGCATAATCAATAAAATATATTTAAAATTTTTTTTTAAAAAGATAAGACTTAATCAGGCTAGGGAAACTTTCAGAATTCAAACAGCTGGTCAACAATTGAACAACAGACCACAGAGCTACAAAAACTCATCTATGAAAAGTTGAAGCAGAAAAGGCTTACAGGAGGGCAAAACACACGCAAATTCAAATGAGGAGTAGATAAGGAGCAGACATTGGACAATACAGTGTCAGTAAAAAAAACTCAACCAGACACATCTGTGGCTTGTGCATCCAGGTGACCAAGTAAAATACTCTTGGATGAGGCTTTGGAGGCCTAATTTTTCCTCATTCCATTTATTGCAACTCAACTTTTAGAAAATCACCAAATTTCTATGTGAATAGTTTCAGTGCCAGGGCATTCACATCTTTACTAAAGAGCCAACGATGTGTTGGTAAACTAGTTCTTCAAAGACAGAAAAAGTCCCTTATTTATAGTGTTTGCTCATTTTCATGGTGTAAATACTCACATCATGGCCAATTTTAAACAACCACGCTCACAAAATTCTTGACTGTGTAACAATAAGCTTTCATGAGCTGTTAGAAGGCAGATCCAGCATACCACGGGGAACAGCTCACTCCATTGTTAGTCTTGCTCCATTTCTGATGAAGTCATTCCTTCCAATGGGTCTGACATCTGCTCCTCAGTACT